GTAACTCTATTGGTATTTTAATACTAATGAATAAAAATATATGTTGGCAACAAAAAATGTTACTTAAAGTAGAATCATCTTAAAGAGTCAATGATAATTTCTAAGAATCTGTGTAAATATCATATTTACTCAGAATTCTCTTTTGTGCCTTTACCTTTTAATTAATGTGAAAGAAGACCTTTAGTATTTAACTGCACATATATATTGAGAAACAAATTATCTCCACTTCTTCAGATTGAAAATATAAAATAAAATGCCTAACTTGAGTATCCATACAAATATTAGTAAGGAAACAAATGTTTTCTTTTTTCTTTATCTCTTCTATTTCATCCTTCTTTTATTTTTTTCTTTTCTGTTTTTTTTTTTTTTTTTTTTTGGTAGGTAGGAGAGAGTGTTAAGAGATAAGGAAGGCAAGAAAAATAAAGAAATTCAAAGCTTTTTGAAAATTATCGACTGCTCTTCTTTAATGTTTTCCTGTTACCTAAAAAATGAAACTATGCCCTTCCTTTTGTAGAAAAAAGTTTATCCATTAAAACAAATACTGTGAAGAATAACATAATTCATGGTTACCAGACTTACTCACAGGTGGCAGGTAAATGACCTACTAGTCACCATTAGGGAGTGAAGAAACCTGAGTTTCAGTCCAGGCTAGTCCACTAATTAACTGAATAATCCTGGGCAGTCCTGTCCTCTCCCTAAACCCTGAGGTCCTCATCTGTAAAGTGAAGAGCTTGAATTGTACAATTTCAGAGTCTCCTCCTGGTTTTGATATCGTCTTAGTCTATGAGTGTAGGCTAAGTCGTTTGCATGTAGGACTGGGTTGTTCAACAGAACTGCGTGGAAAGAACAGAGGTGCTTTTCGTTGTATCCATAGGTGTGGTTTTTTCTCTGCCTGTGGGTGAGGTGGGGTAGGAGGTGGTCTTTATGTTATAAAGGAAAACAGCAAAGATGGCAGTAAAGCTATTTGTTGAAGAGAATGGAGAATAATAAATCACACGTGAATAGGGATTTCCATTTTTTTAAATAGCCTTTTAATTTCATCTGATTTTTGCAGCAAATCTTTTAGAGAAAATGCCCATGAATAAGCTTTTAAGAAGATATTTTGAAAATATGTTACTATGCCAATGCATCCATAAGCACAGTTTTTTCTGGAAGAATGATTCTTGGGAAAATCATTATAGTCTCTCTCAAGTTGTGTGTCCCTTTGGAAGCCTAACTTTTAATCCCTCAATAATTTTTTCCTAAACTTCAAACGTCCCTCCCCCTACCCGAGTTTCTTCACTCTTTCCTCTTTCCTTATGTAAATACAGATAAACATCCACACACACTTTTGGAGGAATCCACTGATGGATTTAGCGTTGTGCAGACGCGCTGTCAGAAGGCTGTGATGTGAGTGGGAGCCTAAAATTTAACAACAACATGGGTTTGCTTATTTAAAGCCTACAGGAATGGTGGAGCAGATGGTGCTTCGTTTCTTTCCTTCCCATCCATGTGTTTGGTGTGATGTGGGCCCAGTCTCCCAAGGCTGCCAGTGTGCAGAGCGGGAGGACTGCCCGGTGAGATGTTGTCCTCACTCTCCCATGTCTTGACTCCTTTGTTTCCCCTCCACTTCATGTGCTCCTTCTCAGCCGGTCAATTGTAAACCTTTGGTGCAAAAGAGCTATCAGTGACACCAATTGTTGCACAGGTTTTGTGACATAGAAATGAGACCACAGAAAAAAATTGTTGAAATGATTGCTCTCAGTTGCAGCAGATATTACAGACAATTCTTATTCTGCTTCCTGTTCTCATTCTGTGCTTTATCGTTTAAAGGAGGACTCTTTCCGTCTATTCTCACTCCACCTTTAAAATGATTCTATAGCTAGATATGGCAGAGATGACTCTATTTTGCAGATAATGGAGACAAAGCTTAGTGCATTTGGATGTGCTATCTGTTGTCACCATGGCAAGAGAAGAAACCAATCTAGAATGGGGATCTCCTAGCTCTAGGCCTCCCAACGCTTTCCACTATCCCAGGCTGTTGCAAATCATGAATTAAAAAACAAAACAAAACAAAACAAAACAATTATTGTTCTCATTTATGCAAGATCATTTCTCCTCTGCTTTAAGAATAGGACACATGTCTAAAAATTACACACATTTTGGGTTTAAAATGGTTATATGGACAAATTCTTAATTCACAATGACTAGGGGTAATTTGATTAGATGCTTGGTCTATTCTCAATTTAAGTGATGTTGTTAGGTTTGTTCATGTGATAAAGAGATGACAGAGGAAACTACCTGTTGCTGGGAAGGAGAGCAGTCTTTCCTCCTTTCCGATTTGAAATTTCCCCATTCTTATCACTTTCAGGGATAGGCGAGCAAAATTCAGACATGTTCTCTAAAAGCCACAGTTACAGTGTACAGTGGACAATGTACGATTTACAGTGGACCCATAAAGAAAAGGGTCTGAAGAATCTCCTAGGACCTTTCCATTAGCACAGATTGTTTTTAATAAATTTACCAGTTTCCAAAGTGGGAGCATTGATCTCACAAACTGAGATGCAAGGAAGGCACATTTCAGAAGAGGAAATGGGCAGTGGGTGAAACGGCAGCTGGTGTCATGAGGCCACTGGGCCTTAGAGGCTTGCTTCTCCCTGAGGCCAGTGCCTTATGAAGAAGGGGACTGCATAGGGCTGGAGGAGATGAAAAGGTCACTTGCCTGGACCTCTGGACAGTTAGGTAGCCATTTTATTGGCTTGGATGTGACCTTAGTGAAACTCTCCTAAACTTCCTCATCAGTTTATTTATTTGTTTATGTCTTTATATTTTCAATGATCTCAGCTCCTTGAGGTCTGAGACTCAATTTTACTCAAATCTATCCCCAATGCCTATCCAAGGTCAAGTAGGACCTTATAAATATTTATTGGAGTGAATTAAATTGAAATGATTAGGTTACTTCTATTTCTACTTAAGGAAAAAATAGGGTTAGGGACACAGTATTCAAAAATGTCATCAGTGACACATGAGAAGAACCTAATAAAAATGGTAGCATAGTCTTATACATGTTATATATTTAAGAAATACACAAATACTATAATAAATATGGTACTTTACTTTCAAAAAGATCTTCAGTTTGCTTGGAGAAGTGAGTGTCAGAAGGGTTGTGAGTTACTGGGACGTGTTGGAAGGACTATTTTCTGAAATTGGAGGATAGTTGTAACCACAGACGTGGATAGGTAAGCTCATAGCTGTGAAGTGTGATAGTATGTGGTGTTTGATGTGTGTGTCTGTATATGTGTATGGCTTATTCCTGTGGGGCTCAATTCAATTGGGTTCAATTTTCTGCATTCATCTGATATGTCCTGATGATAAAACAGGTATAAGCTAATGTAAGATTTGCATTATGTTCAAATTGCTTCCTAATATATAAATATCATAACAAGTTTGCATTTCCAAGAAAGCGGTTGACAGTGTCTGTGTACCTCTTCTCCCCTGCATCTTATTCCAGGAGTAAAGTGGCCCTGAGCTCTGCTTTCTATTTGCGGAATGACCATAACTGCTGAGGTGCCCGTGCTGTGATTTTTATGTTATTTCTTTTCAGCGAAGAACTGGGTCTGTTTTGTGTTTGTCAAATACCTCAAAATATTTTTCAAACGTTTGTGTTTGGGAAAAACGCGAAATACGCTTTGCCAGTTGATTTTTTTTAACACAATTAACAAACAAAAATTTAATCCTTATGTTTCTCATTAATTTTCCTGCAATTAGATGAAATACTGCTCTCTAAGAATTTGCTGGATAAACAAGCAGCCTCGTAATCCTATGTACATTGTCTTTTAAAAAATGTCAAATCAACCCTTCCTGAGAGCCCTTAATACCATGAAGTTTACCTTCAAACTGAATGACGCATTTCAATTTTGTTTTGAGTGAGACATGTCTTGATTTCATGAAGTCATTTTGCAATGTCCTACAAGATCAATTGTGTACAAAATGGAAAAATAAGAAAAGTGTTGGTACTGTTATGTAGACTAATTGATTCCTTCCTTTCTTCCCTGTTTCCTTCTTTTCCTCCCTCCTTCATTCCTTTTCTCATCATGCCATTTTTCCAACAAACTTTATTGAAGGCCTATTATGTAGCAGATTCATTGCTAAGGTCCCACAGAGAGTGTGTCACTTAGTAGAAGATGCAAACAAATAAATGAATGATTACAGAACGTTTAGATGACCAATACGTTATCTGAAGAGCAGGCTCCTCAACATGAGATTGGATGGTTAGGGCATCAGTGTAATCTGGAGGAACATATCTATGTTGTCAAGACCACACCTCTGCCCATGGCCCCACCTTGTTCCACATTTGGACAACTCCAAAGAAGCTTGAGAAAGCATACCTACCACATTAGAGACAGCTGGAAGGGTAGCTACTGAAGTGAATGTCATATTCAAGATTGTACAAGATCGAGGACTATTTTCTATTACTTCATGGAATAGAAATGAGTTATTAGAACTAGTAACTCATTTTCCAGACTTTTACACAATTGAAAGGAGACATTCTGAATTATTCTATCCCTCTAGCACAACTATACAAGAGTCCCGAGGACTGAAAATGGGAGAGTAGTTAAACAATATTTCCCCTTTAATAATCTCCTTTCTTATAGAATAAGTTCAAAAGCCATAACTTGAAGCTTTGATTAAAAGTGATTGATTAAAGGAAAGGATGGGTAGCTGGGCATTTGAGTTAGGCAAATCTGGGTGAGAATTCTGGCCACACTATTTTCTAGTGTGGTGACTTTGGGCAAACTACTTAACATCTCTGAACTTCAGTTTCTACAACTGGGAAAGAAACTTATACCTGTCTTTCAGGGTGTTGTGAGGAGTAGATGAAATATCACATGGAAACAAGTGGTACTGGCCTTGTTTAGAGCAGGTAGTTAATAAATGATGGTGGTTAATGCCATGATCCCTCTCTTTATGGAATATCTCTTGCTGATAGAATTTGCTCTCTCTCTCTCCTATCATTTTAGACAACTGTGATGACCCGTTAGCATCCCTGCTCTCTCCAATGGCTTTTTCCAGTTCCTCAGACCTCACTGGTACTCACAGCCCCGCTCAACTCAACCGAAAAGTTGGTGAGTAGGATGAACAAAATTCTAAGGTCAAGTGCTGTATAAGCATGCAGTGGATATGAGGAAGAAAGCGAGCAACTCCATGCACTGGGATCCTATTCAAGATGGGGAGAGGGAAGTCACAATGGAATGAAACCATATTTCGCAGCACATAATGGATATTTACATCGTGCTGAGTCTTGTTCCTCCAACGCACCTGACTCTTCTTGATGATCATAAGATGCCTTTGTGAAAACAGTTTTTAAAAATATTTGCATTATTATTTTTTGTGTGTGTGAGGAGACCAGCCCTGTGCTAACATCTGCCAATCCTCCTCTTTTTCTGCTGAGGAAGACTGGCCCTGGGCTAACATCTGCGCCCATCTTCCTCCACTTTATATAGGACGCCGCCACAGCATGCCCTGACAAGTGGTGTGTCAGAGCGCACCCGGGATCCGAACCGGCAAACTCCGGGCTGCTGCAGCGGAGCGCGCGCACTTAACTGCTTGTGCCACTGGGTGGCCCCAATATTTGCATTATTTTTATATTTCATATATCTAATATAAATAGCTATCAAAATATATTATTATTATAGTGTGTTTATAATAAGCGTGAATGAAATCTACCAAGATTTTCCTTTAATAACTTTTTTACAATAAAATAGCTGTTGCTAATTTAAAACAATATATAAAATACTATTAAGTAAAAATAAGAAAATACAAATAATGTGTAATCTAACAAGCTAGAGAGATCATGGTTAAATGTCAGGTGTGTATCTTTACAACATGTGATAGAGGTGAGGACAGACACCCTTAACTAAACTCTTATGTGAAATGCCTTTAACAAATATGATGTTGGATATCTAAATAGATATATTTTTAATCAGATTTGGATGTCGACTTTTATTATATATATATATATATACACACACATATTATATATAGGTGTATAGTTGATTTAAAAAAATTTTTAAAGTGTATTTAAATATCTGATGATGATTGTGTATTTGTGTATCTAATGAATGTTATAAACTCAAGTTCAGAAAAAGAATTTTGTATGCAATTTCAAGCGGTACACTGATCTATTAGAGGTCATATTAATTACTCTTGATTATATTTTTCCATACATATGAGGCCAGTCACATTAGTAAGTTTTCCGATATAGAACTATCTTTGCATTCTGGAATAAGTTCCAATTGGTTGTTACAATATTTATATTGTTTTTATAAAGTGCAGAATGATTAATTTGTTAACATTTTAATTTATAGTTTTGATTCTCCATTAATAGTGAGATTGATTTGTAATTTTTGTTTGTATGTTTGTTGTTTATTTAATACTACATTTCACAGTTTTCCTATTATAATGGGATCAGTAATTTAAAAGTTAGCAATTCTAGGGTTTTGTTGAGACAGAAGTTTAGAACATTATTCTCAGGAAAAAGAGTGATCAAAGACCAGCAGGAAAATATTAATAACAATTTTGTACTAACACTGTCCTTTGCTGAATACTCTGTGCCAAAAATTTTATAAAGCATTTTACCTATTTTATGATATTTAGTCTTCAAAAAGATACTCTAAGGTAAGCATTATTACCTTTTACTTTCAAGTAGGGCTCCTGAGGCTTAGAGAAGTTGCATAACTTGCCTAAAATCACACAGTTAAGAAGGTGGAAATGCTTGGATTCAAATCTAAGTCATCTGAATTCAGGTTTTGCTCCTAACCACCGCATCAGCAAGTTCATTCACTAACACAGGTTGAAGAGGGGTATATTACAAAGAAAAGAGGCTTGGAAATTAATCAGCCAGAGTTCAAACACTGGCTACAGCATTTACCTGCAAGCTCTGTGAGTGTCTGCAAGTCACTTATCTGCTCCCAACCTCTATGTTTATCTGTAAAGTTAACCAGTAATGCCTCCCTTGCAGCATTACGTGCAGACTGAGACCAGAGTTGCATGTTCAAAAGATTCTTCTCACCGCAGGGTAGAGAATTAGACTGGAGCAGGGGTGTCCACTTGTCATTTCAGGAAGAAACACAGGTTGGCAGATTTTAATACGGTCTCCAACAGAGCATCCAGAGCCAGAGTTTTTGTCAATCCTATCCAATTGTGTGGGGGCAGAAAGTCGTTAGTACCTAGTGGCTCCTCGGCAGTTTCTGGGGAAGCTGTGAGTCTGATCAGAGGCCAGCTCCTCCTCTAATGCACAGATATTGACAGGGCACAGATGTTTGTGCTCCGATTTATTATAGTTGTCCCTCTCATTGAGGACTCTGGGTACCTGAGCCCAAGGCTAGCATGAGTGTATGCAGAGAGAAGGTCGACTTCTCTTCCTTCTTCCAGCTAGAGTTTAGATGAGGAAGGCCATGCAGGAGATACAGTCACAAAGTTGGGATGCTTCAGCCTAGAACTCATTCTCTAGTACAGCTCCCAAGGCTGACAGCCTCCCCTTCATTCACCGGGCCCAACCATTGCCCTTGGGAGGAATCAAACACAGGCTCAAGGAGATATTAAATCACTAGTTCTCAACCCAGTGCTCTACATTTGAATCACCTGGAAAGCTTTACAAGTAACAATGCCTGAGCCCATCTCCCAGATATTCTGAATTGTCTGAAATGGGACCCACGTAAGGATATTGATGAAGTAAAGAAATACAAGCTTTCCAGGTGATTCTAAAACGCACAAGAATTGCAAACCACTCAATTGGATGAATTCACGAATAACAAATTCTTCCACTAATATTTATTGAGCACTATATGCCAGGCACTGTGCTAGAACCCTGGCACATGGTTGGTAAAAATAGGCACACACCCTATTCATAAAGAGTTTACATGGATAATGCAAATTACCATATAATTAATTATTAGCTAACATTTGTTTAGTGACTATTTTAATATGATTTTGTTTTATATATATACAATATAAATAATGTGAATGTGTATTTGTATATATATATAGTAGGATATAAGAGATAGTCAAATATATACATATGGTTGGATATATACAGAGTCAGAGTAGTATATATATGGAGGTGGATATATACAGGGTTAGATATATATGCACATCCATATGTAATAGGATACACACACACACAGACATATATATATATATGGATGTATGCAGTAATATATATGTGTACATATACATACATATTTAATATATATACAGAATATATACATATATGGTATATATTTTAATAAAAAATATTATCATTTAATGTAATTAAAAACAGATTTTGTCAAATGAGTGGATACACAAATACATAAAATTTAGAAAGTTAAGGAGAAAACTGAAATTTTTCATTTCATTAGAAATATCAGTATAAAGTAATGATTTATTTTTCTTCTTCTAAAATTGAGCTTATGTCATGTCAATTTGGATAAAATCCAAATTGTAAAATCCTGGCCGTCCATAAAACTAAGTCCCCCTCACTTAAATGGCCTAGAAATAATTATAGCCCTGTCTAATGAACATTCATTTTCTATGAGTCTTCCTTTAAAAGTTCTCTTTTATTTTAAAAGAGGAAAGACGTCAAATATACCAAAAAAGAGCAAACTGTTCCACGTGGTTGAAATCTAGGATACTCTCAGATGCGCACGGAGATTTCAAAGAACATCTTGGTTTTAATTTGAATTCTCCATATAGTGTTTTAAATAGCAAGTTCACAGCCAGATGCTAAATAATTGGTACTCAGCACTGTCATTATCAGGTTCGGCTCCTCCCTGAATGGTGGCATTGTGTGTCTAGGAGTTTATGCTGTTCCTGTTATCAATTTATGGCCACCAACATGGGACTAAAAATCATCACAACAAAATACTTAGCGCTTACTAAGAGCCCTCACTGTTGTAAGCCTTAAGGCACATCAACTCAATCCTCACAATTACCCTCCATGTAGGTATTATTGGTGTCTCTGTTTCATAGGTAAAAAATGCCGTGGCACAGAGAGGAAAGGAAAGAATATTAGAATAAAATTTCTAGGTAGATACAAAACTAGTTAATGTCCTACAGGATAATAAAATTTGAGGATTATAACTTCTCTATTGGACAAAAATTTATAAGTTAACATATAACTCCACAATACCTAAGGTCTAATCAAACACTGAATAGCATAACCAAATGGCAGGTACATTCTTCTAGAGAATTAAATAATCATTGAGTGGACTTGTTAAAAATTGCCCCAGGATGATGTTGAAAGGACATACAGTAGCCTGTTTTGATTTCCAAATTTTGGATAGTTTTTTCTCAACACGACCTGTTCATTCATTCATTCACTTATTACAGTGTCTCATGAATTTCTTCTACTCTGCATTACTTAGCCTTCTACACACTTGTTAAGAAATTTCCTGGTACTCCACCCAAGATGAAAGCCAAATTGTAAAACCCTTGACTTCCATAAAACTAAGTACCCCTCACTAAATTGAATGTGCTCAATGGCCTTCTTGCGGCTCATCACTGCTGAACTGGTTCACAAGGATGAGCTTCCCTGCAAGTCCTTGCGCACCATTTAAATTTGCTGACTCCCCTGGGAATCACTTAGATCTTTGACATACGTTGAACACAGGTAATTAAGGACCACTTTACCTCCAGTGTGCTCAGAACTCAAATGTACACCTCTCTCTCCCACACCCAGGAAGGAAGGGTGCACAGCTGGTGAGTTTGTGCTGTCAGAAGCAGGGGTCAATTCAAAAGTTGAAAAGAATATAGGAAAGGTGTGCTGACGAGCACTCTCAGACTCTGAGTAAAGCAAGTGTGATGAGTTCTGTCAGTGACAAACTCATCTTTCTGAGAGAAAACACTCCCTTGGAAACAACCTTTGACCTGAGGCACTGCTGTGGCAGCCAAGGTCTGGGTGATCCACCGAACAAGGTGAGGACTAGATTGTCAAAGCTCATGTAGAGTCCTCACCCTGCTCCCTCATCTATGGAAGGGATTTGCCATATGGAAATTTTGTTCTCTCACTTCCACACACTCCTCAGTCCCCATTTCATCCACACACAAAGAAATAAAAAGCAAGGAAGAGAACGAATTACTTTTG